CCTAAACAAACAAATGCCAATAAAACAACAACAGAAAATAAAAACCACAAACAAAAACCCAACAAAACCTGAAAAATCGAAACAGACAAAAAATCCAAAACAAGAAAAAACAGAAAGAATTCCCTGCAGGCAACCAGAGCAGCTCCCACCTCTTTTGTTCCCATCTTGCTGCTCCCTGATCCAATAATCCCTGGTGCTGCTTGTTCCAGTCTTGTCCTGATGCATCATCTGGGGCCGTGCCCTGGGCAGGACAGTGAGTGCTGTCCCTGTTTGTGTTATCACAGCTTTGTTATTGCTTCCCACATCAGGATAGCAGGGTTTGCATTCTGGGCTGCTCCCTTTTCTCAGCAGCAATCTCTGCACAGAGGCAGCCAGGAGCCAGGCTGGGAGAGCTGGGGGTGCTCACCTGGAGAGGAGAAGGATCCAGGGAGAGCTCAGAGCCCCTGGCAGGGCCTGGAGAGGGACTGGGGACAAGGCCTGGAGGGACAGGACACAGGGAATGGCTGCCAGTGCCCCAGGGCAGGGCTGGGTGGGATCTTGGGCAGGAATTGTTCCCTGGTTCTCTTTTTCAGGATGCTTTGGCCATGGGGAGGGCTCCTCTCGTGCCCCTCATGCTCACGTTCCTCTTTGTGTTCTCCCAAGGAGTTCAGTGGAGCAGGATTGTCCATCCCTGGCTAGAACAGGGAGGAAACATTTCTTGCTGTTCATTTTAGCCCAGCCCTGGGGGTGCCTCTGCAGGTCAGGGCAGGCTGAGTGCTGTGGATTCAGCTTCAGAGGGACACTGGGAATTCCTCCCTGGAGCTGTGGAGGGGAGGAGTGAGGGCTGAGAGGGGCTTTGGACAGCAATTCTGAGCAGGTGACTCTGCTCCCAGGGGTCTCCTTAGGGAGGATCCAGCCAAAGGCACCTGGTGTGATGGAGCTTGGCTGGAATTCTGAGTGTGCCCAGGGAGGGACACCTCTGAAGAAGGAATGTGGTGAGAGCCTGGCAGGTGGAAGAGCTGTGTTAGCAGCAGCTTCACCTGGGGGTTCATGGAACCCACATTCCCTGCTCTGCCCTCCAAATCCCAAATAATGAGTGTTGGGGTGGTCTGGAAGCTCCAGTGAAATGGGATGTCCCACGTTTACCAAAAATTCACTTTAAAAATTTTTTAAATTTATTTTTTTTTCTCCTGTCTGCAAGTCTTCCACCCCGTGGAGTGCTCGTACTGCCACTGTGAGAGCATGATGGGCTTCAGGTACCGCTGCCAGCAGTGCCACAACTACCAGCTGTGCCAGAACTGCTTCTGGAGGGGCCACGCCAGTGGCACCCACAGCAACCAGCACCAGATGAAGGAGCACTCCTCGTGGGTAAGGGCTTCTTCCTGGCAGAAAACTTTCCTCCTGGGTCAGGGCATTCCTCCTGGACAGGGGCATTGCTCCTGGGTAAGGATTTTCCTCCTGGGTCAGGGCATTCCTCCTGGACAAGAACATTGTCCCTGGGTTAGGGCATTTCACCTGAGCAGGAGCATTCCTGCTGGGTGAGGGCATTGCTCCTGGGTAGGGATTTTCCTCCTGGGTCAGGGGCATTCCTCCTGGGCAAAAACATTCCTTCTGGGTAAAAACATTCCTCCTGGGTCAGGGATGTTCCCCCCTGGGTCAGGGATGTTTTCCCTGGGTCAGGGGTGTGGAGCAGCCTCTCTGGGCTGATTCCCTCAGGGGTGTTCGGGGTCTGGAGCAGAACTGCTCTGTGGGGCTTTTCCAGTTCTGCAAACAGCAAGGGGTGTAGACAGGGGGATTGGACTGGGTTTATTGTTTATTCCTGGCTGGGATAAACCTGGGATGGAGAAACATCCAGCTGGGAATGGCACCGGGGGGCTCAGGGCTGCCTCAGTCCTGTCCAACACCTGCAGGGACGCTCTGGGCATGGAGGGAACCACCCTGGGTGAGCTCCTGGGCAGCCCCAGGGGCTGGGATGGGAAATGCTGGGACAGGACAGGACAGGACAGGATGGATCCAGGGCTGGGATGGGAAATGCTGGGACAGGACAGGACAGGACAGGATGAATCCAGGGCTGGGATGGGAAATGCTGGGACAGGACAGGACAGGACAGGACAGGATGGATCCTGGGCTGGGATGGGAAATGCTGGGACAGGACAGGACAGGACAGGACAGGACAGGACAGGACAGGACAGGACAGGACAGGATGGATCCTGGGCTGGGTTTAGCAAGGTTGAGTGCCTGGTCCAGCCCCTGGGTCCCCACAAGGCCCTGGGATGTTCCAGGCTGGGGCAGAGGGCCCTGGCACAGCTGCCCAGGGACGTTTGCAGTGCCCATCCCTGGAGGATGGAATTCCAGGGCATTCCTGGCTGTGGCTCTCAGTGCTCTGGGCTGGGGACAAGGTGAGGATCAGGACTGGATGGTCCTGGAGGGCTTTTCCAGCCTCAGGGATTCTGGAACTCCACATCTTTGCTGATTTGTTTAATTCCTGCTTTTCCCAGAGAGCCAAAGCAGTGCCCAGGAGTTCTGTGCTCGGGCAGGACCTTTATTTTAAATCTTTAAAGGCATCATTACTGTGACAATTCTGCATTTCTCTCTTACTCTCCTGCCAGTTGGAAATACATGCCTGGAAAAGTGTGAATTACAGAAATGATCTGTGCAGTTTGGTGGCAGGATGATAATCACAGCTCAAGGAAGAGCAGACAATTTTATGGAGAAAAACCTATTTTATGGCAAAAGATCAAGCCCAACCTTTCACTCACTCACAGAAAAGTTCAGATGATGAGAGGATTATAATTAATAGTTTGTAGGAAAGAGCCATTATAGCATTACTGTTTAATTTAGAAAATTGGGCTGAATACCAGGCAGGAGATGGGAGGCAAAGGAAAATTCTCTTGTCCTTTTAATAACTCTGTGAGTAAAAAAACTTCTGGAATGTTTAATCCCAGCTAACAGGAGGTTATTATTCCCTTAAATGCATATCAGTCAGGCTGGGATTTTTCATACAAAATATTAATAGATTATTATTTACATACTTACAGCTTCTTTTTCCTGAAACTCTGAGGTACCTTTGATAATTTTTTGATACACATAATACTGAGATATTATCTATTATATATTATCTATTATATATTTATAGTTATATTTATAGATATAGGTATATATAAAGTATATAAATATATTTATAATAAATACATTTTATATACTTCTATATTTTATATTTATCCATCTCATAACATAGTGATGAGATATATTGAAATCTGTAACCATAATGATTTTATATGGATAACTTCAGGTAAAAAATGATTTTTAATAATGTATGAACCCACTGCTCTTTGGGGCCTGTTTGGAGGGGTGAAAACCTTGAAACTCTTCCCAGTTTTTCACTTCTGGGCTGTTTCAGTTGTGGTTTCAGTGGAGGGAGGGGTCAGGTGCCCCAGCAGGGGCCTGGGCTGGCTTTGGGCTGGTTTTGTTGCTGGGAATTCCAGGTTGGAATATCCAGCACATCCCTGCCCATGTCCCTGTGCTCTCACCTGGGGGCTTTGTCAGCTCAGGGCCCTGCCCTGCTGGCACTGATGGAATATTTGGCATTTGTGCCCAAATAATGGGAATTATTATTAATAATGGGAATTATTATTAATAATGATGGGATTTGGGGCACACGCAGCCCCTCCCATCCCCCAGCTGCTCTCTGAGCTCTTGGGGAGATTTTGGGGCTCCATCCTCCCCATTCCTGCCCCCTAAATCCTGAATGATTTCCCATTCCTGCCTCCTAAATCCTGAATGATTTCCCATTCCTGCCCCCTAAATCCTGAATGATTTCCCATTCCTGCCCCCTAAATCCTGAATGATTTCCCCCTTAGTGCCCCCCCAGGATTTAGGGGCTCTGGAGCTGCTGGCCCTGCATGGGATCCTGAGTGACCTGGGATTGGAAATGGGATTGGGAATGGCATTGGCATTGGGATGGGATTGGGAATGGGATTGGGATTGAAATGGGATTGGGATTGGGATTGAGATTGGGATTAGAAATGGGATTGGGATTGGGATTGGAATTGGAATTGCAGCGGGACAGCTCCTGCACAGGGCATGTACAGTGTGAGAATGGGCCAGCACAGCCCAGGAATGGGCCAGCACAGCCCAGGAATGGGCCAGCACAGCCCAGGAATGGGCCAGCAGGGCAGGCACAGCCCCTGCAGGCTGGGAAAGGCCCTGGGGGTGCTGTGCCAGCAGCTGGGCACGAGCCCAGGTGTGCCCAGGTGTGCCAGAGGCCAGTGGCCCCTGGGCTGTGCCAGCTGTGGGGTGGCAGCAGGGCCAGGGCAGTGCCTGTCCCCTGTGCTGGCACTGCTGGGGCACCTCCAGTGCTGGGGGCAGCTCTGGGCCCCTCCTGACAGGAGAGCCCTGGAGGGGCTGGAGGTGTCCAGGGAAGGGAACGGAGCTGGGCAGGGGCTGGAGCCCCAGGAGAGGCTGAGGGAGCTGGGAAAGGGGCTCAGCCTGGAGAAAAGGAGGCTCAGGGGGGACCTTGTGGCTCTGCACAACTCCATGACAGCAGGGGACAGCCAGGGGGGGAACAGGGACAGGACAAGGGCAAAAGGCCTCAGGCTGGGCCAGGGCAGGCTCAGCTTGGACAGCAGCAGCAATTTCTCCATGGAAAGGGTGCTCAGGCCTTGGCAGGGGCTGCCCAGGGAGCTTTGCAGTCCCATCCCTGGGGGGATTTAGAAGAATTCTTGATTCCCTAAACCCTCACAGTAACTAAGGGCAAACCTTTGCCTTGAGATTTATTATTCCATGAAGGAAGAGAAAGAAGCAGAAATCATTTATTTGAATAGTGGTTGACATGTGAGCAAAAGGTGAGTGTCCTTCACTTTTAGGTGTAGATATGGAAAAGGCTGTGAGTTTGCTGAAGAAGGGATCTCAGAAAGCTGATTCTGGGATTTTTGTAAAATTTCTAAAAATTGTAGAATCCTGGATTCGCTTGGGTTGGAAAAGCCCTGTGAGCCCATCGAGCCCAACCATCCCCAGCACTGCCAAGGCCACCACTGCCCCATGTCCCCAAGTGCCACATCCACAGGGATTTAAATCCTCCAGGGATGGGGAATCCAGGGCTGGGCAGCTGTGCCAGGCAGGAATTGTTCCCAATATCCACCCTGAGCCGGGCCTGGTGCAGCTCTGCCCTCGGCCCTGCAAGAGTGTCCCCAAACTCTGGGGCCAGTGCAGTGACCCAGGAGTGTCCCCAGGCCCTGGGGCCAGTGCAGTGACCCAGGAGTGTCCCCAAACTCTGGGGCCAGTGCAGTGACCCAGGAGTGTCCCCAAACTCTGGGGCCAGTGCAGTGACCCAGGAGTGTCCCCAGGCCCTGGGGCCAGTGCAGTGACCCAGCAGTGTCCCCAGGCCCTGGGGCCAGTGCAGGGGAGGAGCCTGGCACGGCTGCCTTGGCCCGGGCAGGGCAGGGCAGGGGAAGGAGCTGCTCTGGGAATGAAGAGCCTGCAGGAAGCTCAGAGCCACCAGGGCAGGGAGGTTTTGTGTCCATTTTTCATTTCTGTGCCTGACTCCTCAGCCATGGATCCATCCCAGAGATGTCCCTGATTGTTAATTACTGTTTAATTATGGGATTCCAGAATGGTTGGAGTTGGAAGGGACCCCAAATCCCCCCCAGTGCCACCCCTGCCATGGCAGGGACACCTCCCAGTGTGCCAGGAATGTCCAGCCTGGCCTTGGGCACTGCCAGGGATCCAGGGGCAGCCACAGCTGCTCTGGGCACCCTGTGCCAGCCCTGCCCACCCTGCCAGGGAACAATTCCTGCCCAAGATCCCATCCAGCCCTGCCCTGGGGCACTGGGAGCCATTCCCTGTGTGCTGTCCCTCCAGGCCTTGTCCCCAGTCCCTCAAATCTGGGAGAGAAATGAATAAATTCAGAGAGAAATAAATGTGGACATTTTCAGCATGTGAAGAATTAATTTGGGTAAACGAGGGGTTTTAAGTTTGGAATAATCACATCTGTGTGCATAATTTAAATTCTCTGTGGGGTCAGTAAGTGATATAAAATCAAATCGGGATTTTCATAGGATTTCAAAGTAATTAAAGGGGCGGGGTTAGAATGAGCTGAGCTTTAAGGTCCCTTCCAACACGAAGCATTTGAGGATTTGATGGTATTTGATGATATTGATTTGATGTCCATTCCCTGGGATCCAGAGGCTCCTGGATCAGTTCCTTTGCTCTCCAGGGCCTTCACACAATTCTGCTGCTTGCCAGGGTGGAGCTGTCAGCTGATAAATGAAAATTCCAGAACCTGGAAGGAACTGGGCTGCACCTCCAGGGCAGGGGCGGGTTGGACATCAGGAGGAATTTATTCCATTGGTATTAAAAGGTGCTAATTGTCAGTAATTGCCGGGTAATTTGCTGTAATTCCTGTCCCAATGTTAACCTGAATTTTAATTTGAATGTCCCCTGAGAACTGGTGCCAGTTCCACTTTGGGCTGTTGGAGAGGAGCAGTAATGAATTCCACAGGAGTAATTAGCCAGGGGTGATGTTGGAACCCTGAAACCTGGAAATTTTAAACTTTCTGTGCTTTCTCCTGGGATGTCAGTGAGTGAGAGCAGCAAAAGGAGCTCCAGGTTATGTCCCTGGAATAATGGAATTATTAGGGTTGGAAAACCATCACCAGGGCACGGAGCTCAGTGAGTGCAGTGTCATTGTGGGACTGAATTTTGTGAGTCACCGTGGGGTTTAAACCCATGTGTGGCAGTTCTTGTCACCAGGGTCACCCATGGTGTCAGGCCAGGGGGCTGGGAAAGGAGATCAAGTCAGAGATAAAGTCAGAGATAAATAAAGTCAGATATAAAGTCAGAGATAAATAAAGTCAGATATAAAATCAGATATAAATAAAATCAGATACAAAGTCACTCGTGCCCGTCCCAGCACCGTGCCCCACCTTGGCCGTGCCTGGCAAGGACAGACATTTGGGAGGTGGCTGCTCCTCCCCTCTGTGCTCAGAGAGTGAGTGCAACAATCCCGTAATGGGATGGGATCAATTCCTGAGGGAACCCCCAGGTAATTGGTTTATTTCTAATCTTACATCATTTGGTTAAACTTTCAGTTGTCACTGTTAGAGCACTTAAAGCCTGCCAGACCCCGTGTCCCCGGTGCAGGGGCCTCAGTGATTTCCCAGCAGAGCTGGGACAATCCTGGCTATTTCTGCACCAGCTGCCCCTTCCTGCCCCTGACACCTCCCGGGGCAGGAATGAGGGATTTGTCTTCACAAACAAACTGTGGGACACCAAAAAGAGAGAGAAAAGAAACAATGGGATGGATTCCACTCATTGATGAATGGAAAAAGAAATTTCCCTTTACAAACAAACTGCAGGTTTGCTGATCAATGGAATTGGATATTGAAAGGTGAAAGAAGCAATGGGGGAAAACCATGAATTCTGTAAGAATTAAAAATGCCAAGGGAGGGTTGTACATTGGAGGGGAATCTCAGGGATCAGGGTTTGGGCAGTCTGGGCCTCTCCAGTCCCTCAGCAATGGGGACAGAGAGAGGGAAATGGGGATAAAAAGGGAGGGGAGTCCTCAAAAACGGGAGAGAGCCCAGGGGAACGGCCCATGGGCTCTCCTGTATCCAATAAAGCAACGGGACTGCTCTGTGTCCCTCTGGGACAGGAACCCCTGGTGTTGGTGGGTGAATTCTCCTCAGCCCTGGCTCCTGTGCTTGTTGCCCTCCCCAGAAATCTCCAGCCAAGAAGCTGAGCCACGCCATCAGCAAATCCCTGGGCTGTGTCCCCAGCCGGGAGCCGCCCCGGCCGCTCTTCCCCGAGCAGCCCGAGAAGCCCCTGGACCTGGCCCACATCGTGTGAGTACCCTGAGCCCTCCCCGGGATTGGGGATTGCTGGATTTTATACCCTGAGCCCTTCCCGGGATTGGGGATGTTGGATTTTATACCCTGAGCCCTCCCCGGGATTGGGGATTGTTGGGTTTTATACCCTGAGCCCTCCCCGGGATTGGGGATTGCTGGATTTTATACCCTGAGCCCTTCCCGGGATTGGGGATTGTTGGATTTTATACCCTGAGCCCTCCCCGGGATTGGGGATTGTTGGGTTTTATACCCTGAGCCCTCCCTGCACTGGGATTGTTGGATTTTATACCCTGAGCCCTCCCTGCACTGGGGATTGTTGGATTTTATACCCTGAGCCCTCCCTGCACTGGGATTTTTGGGTTTTTTGCCCTGAGCCCTCCCTGCCCTGGGATTGCTGGGTTTTCTCTCTGTCCTGTGAATTTTTCACTGCAGGCTGTGGTTGTGTGAGGTGTTTGCTCTGGCACATCCCTGTGCCCACCTGTGGCTCCTCTCACTCACCCTGGCTTGGGTCAGGCTCTGTTTTCTCATTTATTGTACATTAAATGATATAAACAGGATGTTATGGTTCTGAATGTTATGATAATGTAAATTAAATGATATAAACAGACCCAGAAATGTGTCAGGCACATTGCAGGGCTCAGCTCCTGGTGCTGCCTGGGGCCTTGAGCTCCCAGCCATGTCCTCTCTCCGTGGCATTATTTTCACATTATATTTTCATTATTTTCATGGCATTTTTGTCACCCTGCTGCTGTGACCTCACTGTGGCATGGCTGGAGTGGAAAACCTCTGCACTGGTGTTGGTTTGAGCAGCCTGAGGTCACTTTTCACCTCAAAAGTAAAAAAAACTGAGAGAAAAAGACCCAAACAAACTGTAGTCCAGATAAATCTTAGTGTCCTGCAGAGGCTGGAGAGGAACTCCTCACACTGCAGGAGAGTGAGGAGGAGCAGCACTGGGATGTGATTGCAGGAAAATGGAATTACATGACATTTCCACGAGGGTGGAGCCATTTACAGGCTGAGGGTGAGGGGAGCTGCTGCTCTCTGGTTTTATTTCACACCCTGACTACCAGATTATTTATTAGAGGTTTCTGTGTCCCAGGGCTGGGTCGTGCCTGTCCCTCCTGTCCCCTGTGCCCCTCCCAGCCCCCGATGGTTCCATTGATTGCCTCTTCTGCTCCTCCTTTAACAGTGTGCCATTCCTTCAGGAAAAAAACCCAAAGAGCTGGACAGGTGAGACCTGCAGAGCTTTTTGTAGTGTAGAGCTCCAGGTCCCAGCCCAGCTTGGAGCTGATTCCTGCTTTGCTCTGTGCTTGTTCCCTCCAGTTGGTGCCTCCCTGGGGGCTCCCCCCTCTCCCAGTGCCTGCTTTGGTGCCCTGCAGGGAGGGCCCCAGCTGCCTCCATGGAATATCAGCTGGGGAGAGCCCAGGGGTCAGCCCTGCTGCTGCTCAGTTCAGAGCTGCAGTGGGTTCTCCTCAGGAATTCACCCCCTTCTCATGGGGGCTCATCAGGCTCCAGGACAGGGCTCTGCATTGTCCTCAGCATTGCCTGGCCCTTACTGTAATTCATGGATTT